TCTGGACCCTTCTTCAGAGTCCAGACCCGAAACGTCAGCTTTCCTGCTCCTCTGATGCTGCTTGGCCTGCTGTGTTCATCCAGCTCTACACCTTGTTATCTGACATTGCTGTCTAGTTGTTTCAGTGATTCCTCGCCATGAGTCCAAAGGAAGAAAATGTCGTCAATGTATCTGGTGTATAGCATTGGTCGAAGATTCTACACAGCAAATAAGTCTTGTTCAAACTTGTGCATGAAAATATTGACATATTGCAAATCTGGTCCCCATGGCTGTTCTGTGTGTCTGGATGAAGAACTGGTTATCGAAGATGAAGATGTTTTGGTTGAGGATGAAGCAGATGAGTTGGAGAATGGCATCTGGTAATTGGAAGTTGTTGGTATTGAGTACTGAGGCTGTTATAGCGATGCCGTTGTGGTGGGGGTGCTGGTGTAGAGTGCTGAAACATCCATTGTGATGAAGAATGCTCCTGGTTTGACTGATCCATGAGTGCTGAGTTTCTGTAAGAAATCTGTAGTGTTGTGACAGAAGCTGAGGGTTCTTTGTACAACGGGTTTCAAGATGCCCTCGACATAGCCGGACAGGTTCTCACACAGGTTCCCGATGCCTGATACAATGGGATGTTCGGGTGTCCTGGCTTTGTGTATCTTTGGAAGGCAGTGGACGTCCCCCATGTGAGAAGTACTTGGAATGAGAGTGCGTAGGGTACTCCAAAGGACTGGATCAAGAGTCTGTTGAGTTCATGGCTGTGTTCTTTGGTCGGATCAGCAGATAGTTGTCTATAGTGTATAAAACCTTTAGTTATCTCAGGGCAGTGACTTGAAAGAAATTCTGGGATTTACATATTAATCAAATGAAACCTGCATTTCCTTCCTAACTGATTAAAGATTTAACAGACATCTTAGGTTTGTTCAATACAATTGCACCAGTTCTGTGACCCTTTGGTCTTTTAGTTATAAAATCTGTGTCTGATGCCACCTCTCTGAAGAAGCAGCAAGATTCTGAAAGCTTGTGTTTTCAAATAAACCTGTTGGACTATAACCTGGTGTCGTGTGATTTTTGACCTTGTCCACTCCAGTCCAACACCGGCACCTCCACATCATGGCTATAAATCTCAAAGTTAATCTCCACTGCCAGAGACTTTGTTTGGAAGAAATTAAAAGTCAGCATCCCATTAAAAAAAGTAATGATGCTGAAATGGACAAATCATAACATTTTCTGGCAAATTTAGTTCACATACATTAGAAATATACAACTATTTGAATGGCAGGACTCTGGGTGAGATACTGCACAGCTTTTGAAGGAATAGCACACTTCAGTCAACAACTTCCATATCTAATGGCATGTTTAATAGTCACAAGAAACTTTTGCTCAATTTCCGTGTATATAACAATTTATGCAATTAGTTTCATTCATACTGCACCATTCAGTCCATTACATTTTGAAGCTTTTCCTTATTTTGTTGGTCACTTTAAATAAATATTTCTTCCATTTTGAAGATGGTTAATAGAGAGGATGGTAATTGGTTATGATGAACTCTTCCAACTGTAGTTTCAGTGTTCTAAATGATGGTCTTTGAGATGGAATTTCATTCCAGCATTGTCTCATAATGTTATAAATGGGTTGTGGACAGCCATTAGGACATGGCATCCTGTAGCCTTGTAGTAGTTCAGATAAGACCACTTTATTTGTCATTCCTGCAAGATCAGAAAATGTCAGTCACTGTTGAAGTGAATAATGTGAGTCAGTACAATGAAACATAATTATATATTAATACACTTACCAGGATAAGGTATCTTCCCATTTGTGATAATCTCAAACAGAACAATACCAAACGACCAGACATCAGATTTCATCGAAGTCTGATTCATGCTTGCTACTTCTGGAGCAGTCCACTTAACAGGAAGTTGACCATCAGGTATGCTACCAATTGTGGCATCCTGTTACGAAAAGCATGAAACTTTAATAGATTTCTGTCAGTTTCATAAACAAATCTGCATGTTTTAATAACAAATCTGGAATCATAAGAATAATTCAAAAGTACTTGATTATGATAGTGAAATACATTGAAATATTTAACCCATTTGTAAGGCATTCTCTCTTTTAATGTAGCTTCAAACCATTTATCTTAAATGGCTAAAAAACCTTATGACTTGTGCACTAATAGTTCCCACATTCATTGGCCAAAGGTCCGAAATGGAAGTGTAAGATTTCGATTGCATTTTAAAAATTATCCTTTGTTTTTCACTATGGCAATTTAGTTTGATGTATCATTTATATAGTACATAAGATTATAAGATGTAGGAACAAGAGTATGTCTTACGGCCTCTTGAGCCTGCTCTGTTATTCAACAAGATCATGACTGAATTTCTACCTAAAATAATGTTTCCAGTTCTAGCCCCTGTCCTTGATTCCTTTAAAGTTTAAAAACTATTCATTTCTGTTTTGAATATTACAATGATTGAACTTTCACTGTTGTAATGGGCAAAATTTCAAAGATTCCTCACCCTCTGAGCGAAGGAATTTCTTCTCACCTCTCTCCTAAATAGCTGACCCCAAGTTCCAACTCTTCAGCTGGGGGATTTGCATCTCAGCATATAGGTCATAATAGTGGCTGGTGTGAAGAGAAGGCAATCATATAGGTGCTTTGCAAGTTGGCACCTTTGAGGGTGAGACATTTGGAATATTCTTACCATAGCTTCACGTTGTCAATCATGACATGTTATAACTTAACTGGGAGCACCTAAGGGACCAAGGAGTGAAAAATGTTCCATTTCCTAGTTTAAGAGCACATAGATAAGAATTAAGGAAAGTGAAATCATTGATTTGAAGCAGAAAATCATAAACTAATTTGAAACCACTCCATCACCAGGTGAAACAAAATATAACATTCAAATTATAACAACAATGTAAAAATGCAGTTTTAAATATGAGTTAAGTAATTCAAGCGACAATATTAGTTGAGGTTGATAGCCAGCAAATATGCTTAAAGCACTGCTAAGTTCTTCCTCATAATTTTAGACACAAATATATACCTGAAGCAATCTAGTAAGTCCAAAGTCTGAAATTTTGCAAACAATACTGTCTCCCACAAGAACATTTCTTGCTGCTAAGTCCCGATGAATATATTGTTTGGATTCAAGGTACAACATTCCAGCAGCAATCTGAATTGCCATTTCAATTAATTGCGCAATTGTAAAACAGCCTTCAGATTCTGTGAAAAGATACACACAGTTGTCAAACATACCATAAAACAATTACTTGAATATAATATCAAAACACAACAGTTGCTCTGGTCAGTGACCTGAAAATCTGTTTAGCTTTAAACCAGATACTCACCCCTTAAATAATTCAAAAGATCTCCATGTATCATCAATTCAGTGACAATGAAGAAAGGTTGCTTTCTGGTGCATACAGCATAGAGAGGAATCAGATTCTCATGTTGGAAGTTCTTCATAATTTGTGCTTCTTTCAGAAAATTGCTGGAGTCTTTAACTTCTGTAGGTACATAAATTGATTCAGTAGACATAATTTAAAATACAAGTGAAACACTACTGCTCAAAGTGATGATGCAGTTGAATAATTCTCCCTAGAAAACTACAGGACTAACAAATTAGCACAAAAGAAAAGCGGAGACAACAGTGGCAGGTCAACTCATAGTCCAGCAAAATGTAGGTGAGAGTTTGGATTAGGATGGGGAATCCCAACAAGTGTGATATTAAGTCCTTTTTATGAAGTAGCAATGTATTGCTGTACTTGCCTCTCCCACTGAGATAACACCAAGTTAGGACATAGGTGACTGAAAATATAACATTTTCATAACTGAGGAGACACAGATTACATATACAAAAGTTAAGTAGTACCATCTTTCTTGGCATGTGCTACGCATATTTATTGTCAGACATGACTTCTACACACCACAGGTGACGGAATACAAACTTGAACCTCTAGAGGTTGTTATTGAAACTACTCATTGATAATTTACAATGAAGGCATGCAATCAATATCCCAATGCAAATTGATTAAAATTTACAGGTGATCCCAAAGCTATGGGAGGCAACAAAATTAGTGGAGCAAGCTTAAAAATTACATGCTGTAAATTTTGATTCAACAGCATCTGAATTTTCAGCGCTGTAAGTGCTGTTTTACCTCCAAAATGCACTTGATTGCGGTGTGCACATTTGTGGAACTAGGAACATAGCAACATAGAACCAAGGGTAGGCCATCCAACCCATTGAGCCTGCTCTGCCATTCATTCGATTGCAGCTGAACATCTACCTGAATACCACAGTCCCTTACTATCGCCATGTTCCTAACTGTCATTAATTTCCAGAAAGCAGAGATTTCTGTTTTGAAAATACTCAATGATTGAACTATTACAGACTTCAATGTCGAGAATTCTAAAGATATGCACTCTCTTAGTGAAGAAATTCCTCCTCAGCTCTGTTTTAAATGGCCTTTCTCTCATCCTGAGATTATGTCCCCTGATTCAAGAGTCAGCAGCTGTGTGAAATATCCTATTTATATTCACCCTGTCAGATGCTGTAAGAATTTTGTAAGTTTAAATTAAATTATCTCTCAATCTTCAAAACTTCAGAGAATATAGACCTAGACTCCTCAAACTCTCCTCATAATGACAATTCAGCATCCCAGGAACTAATCTGGTGAACCTTCATTGTACTCCAACTATGACAAGTATATCCCTTCTTAGATAAAGGAGCCAAAGCCACGCACAATGCTTCAGATGACATCTTACCAAGACTTCACACAAATGCAACAAGATATCTTTTCTTCTGTACTCAAATCATCTTGCAACGAAGGCCAACATTTCATTTGCATTCCTAATTATTTGTTGTAACTGCATGCTAAATTTAATTGATTCACAAACAAGGACATCCAGGTCCCTTCGTTACCTACACTTCCCAACCATTTAAGAAATAGTCTGACTCTCTGTTTTTCCTACCAAAGTGAATAATGTCACACTTATTCACATTATTATCCATCTGTCATTTTCTAACCAATTCACTTAGTCTGTCCAAGTCCTCTTGAAGCCATCTTGTATCCTCCTCACAATTTATAACCTCATCAGTTTGGTGTTATCAGCAAATTTGGAAATAACACAACTGGTCCTCACATCCAAACCATTTACGTAGATTGTGTACAATTGTGGACCAAGCACTGGTCCTTGTGGTACACTCCCAAGGCAGCTTGCCATTGTGAGTATGATCCATTTATTCCTACTTTCTGCTTTTTGTCTGTTAACCAATTCTCAATCCATGTTGGTATTTTTCCTCTAGTCACATGCTGTCTAATTTTATTTATTGGCCTCCTCTGTGGGTTTGGAACCTACCATTTGAATTCTATAAATATGGTGGAATAAAAAGCTAGTCTAACAGAGCTATGTAAACATTGTCCTTGGTCGCAAAATGCATCTGGTTTCTTTAGAAACAAAATTTGCTGGCTTGGCCTACGTGTAACTCCAGATCTTTAATGACAACTCCAGTCTTAATGACTACCGCCCAGTGGCTCTGACCTCCATCATCATGAAGTGCTTCAAGAGACTGGTTGTGGTGCACATCAACTCTAGTTTCATGGCCTGCCTCAATCCCCTAAAATTTGCCTCCCAATGCAACAGATACCATTTCTCTTGCCCTGCAACTCATCCCTGGAACATCTGGACAACAAGGAAATCTATGTGAGACTCCTGTTCATCAACTATAGCTCCACCTTCAACACAGGATGTTGACCCAGGAATAGTGAGGGTATGATGACAAAAATCCAAGTCTGGATGATGAGTGGCTTAGAGGGGAATTTGAAAGTGGTGGTGTTCCCATGTATCTGCTGCCCTTGTCCTTCTAGGTAGAAATGGTCATGGGCTTAGAAGGTGCTGTCTGAGGATCTTTGGTGAATTTCTGTAACGCATCTTGTAGATAGTACACATTGCTGCTGCTAAGCGTCAGTGGTGGAGGGAGTGAATGCTTGTGGGTGTGGTACCAATCAAGCGGGCTGCTTTGTCCTGGATGGTGTCAAGTTTCTTGAGTGTTGTTGGAGCTTCACCTATCCAGCGAAGTGGGAAGAATTCCATCACACTCCTGTCTTGTCCCTTGTAAATGATGGACAAATTATGGGCAGTCAGGACGTGAGTCACTCACCACTGTATTCCTAGCCTCTGACCTGCTCTTGTAGCCACTGCATTTATGTGACAGGTCCAGTTGAGTTCCTGGTCAATGGTAACCCCACGGATGTTGATAGTGGGGGATTCAGTGATGGTAACACCATTGAGTGTCAAGTGGCAGTAATTAGATTGTCACTGATTGGTGATGGTCGTGGCCTGGCATTTATGTGGCGTGAATGTTACTTGCGACTTGTCAGCCCAAGCCTGGATATTGTCCAGATCTTGTTGTATGTGAACATTGACTGCTTCAGTATCTGAGGAGTCAGAAAAGATACTGAACATTGTGTAATCATCAGCAACCATCCCCACTACTGACCACCAGAGAGTTTGCCACATGGCACACATTGATTCCAGTTTTGTGAGGGCTCCTTGATGCCACACTTGGTCAAATGGGGTCTTGATGTCAAGGGCTGTCACTCTCACCTCACCTGTGGAACATTGAGTTCTTTCTTCTGGAATACTGCGTCCAGTTCTGGTCGCCCTGTTATTAGAAGGATATTAAGCTAGAGAGGGGTTCAGAAGAGATTTACGACAATATTGCTGGAAATGGAAGACTTGAATTATAAGGAGAGTCTAGATAGGTTGGGACTTTTTTCACTGGAGCATAGGAGGTTGAAAGGTGACCTTGTAGAAGTTTATAAAATCATGAGGGGTATAGAAAGGCACATTTTTGAGGTGAGAGGAGGTTGATTTAAAAAAAGACATGAGAGCAAATATTTTACACAGAGGATGGTTTACGTGTGGAATGAACTTCCTGAGGGAGTTGTGAATGAACGTACAGTTACAACATTTAAAAGTTATTTGGATAAGTACATGAATAGGAAAGGTTTGGAGGGATATGGGCCAGGAGCAGGCAGCTGGGACTAGTTTAGTTCGGGATTATGTTCGGCATGGACTTATTGGACTGAAGGGTCTGTTTCCGTGCTGTATGACTCTATGACCATTATCTCCTCCAGACTGGTCTCAAAACTCCAAGACCTTGATCTTGGCTCCACCCTCTGCAACTGGATCCTCAGCTTCCTGACCCACAGGCCACAATCAGTTAAGATAGAAAACTGCATCTCCTCCACAATAACCCTGAACACTGGAGCACTGCCCCCTCTACAGCCCTCCACACCACCCCCAACCTCCCCCCCCCCCCCCGCCATGGATGCATTCGCAGACCTCCACTGTACTTCCTGTACACCCACAATTGTGTAGCCAAATTCCCAATGAACGCCATCTACAAGTTTGCTGGCAACTCCACTGTGGTAGGACGGATATCTAACAAAGACAAGTCAGAATACAGGAAGGTGATAGAGGGCTTGGTGACGTGGTGCAATGAGAACAACCTCTCTCTCAATGTCAGCAAAACTAAAGAACTGATCATTGACTTCAGAAATAAAGGAGGTGAAACATCCCCATCTACATCAACGGAGCTGAGGTTGAGAGGGACAAGAGTGTCAAGTTCCTTGGAGTGACGATAACCGGCACCCTGTCCTGGACTTCCCATGTAAAAGCAATGATCAAGAAGGCACAACAATACCTCTTCTTCCTCAGGCAGCTTAGGAAATTCAGCATGTCCATAACGTCCCTCACCAACTTTACCAGATGCACCATTGAAAGTAATATTGTCCGGGTGCATAACAGCCTGGTACGGCAACTGCTCTGCCCAGGACTGTGAGAAAGTCCAGAAGGTGGTGTGCACAGCCCAGACCATCACGGAAGCCAACCTTCCATCCGTGGACTCCATTTGCACAAAGACCGATCATACCCCAGCAATGCTCTCCTACAGACTCTTCTGTCAGGAAGAAGATACAGAAGCCTGAACACAAGCACCAGCAGGTTCAGGAACAGCTTCTTCCTGGCTGTTTTTAGACTGATGAATGGACTCTCTGACTTCAAATAATGTTGATCTTGCCTAGCGCACGCCCTGTGCTGCGTAACTTGTATGCCTCTGTCTAAGTTTCTTTTCACCCTATAATCTGGATGTCATTACTATGTTCTGCCTGTACTGCTCTTAAATAAAGCTTTTCACTGTACTTAGGTACACGTGACAATAAATAAATCACATCAAATAAATTAAATCTGCAACACTGTTTGTGACTCTTAACTGATCTCTGAAATGGCCTATCAAGCAATTCAGTTAGGTCCAAGGTATTTAGGGATGGGCAATAAATGTTAGTCTAGCTAGTGATGCCCATATTCAATGAGTGAATGAAAACAAATATATCAAATAAAATAATTGTTCTTAAATAACATGCTTACTTTCTTTCAGCATTTTAATTGCAACAGGTACATTGTCATTCCAGATGGCTTTCCACACTTCTCCATAATTACCAGATCCTATGCACTTTACCAAAGTGAATTCTTCTTTTGGTCTTTCCCATTTGTCCACTGTGTTGTATGATAAGTGACGAAGAGATGGCTTTTTCTGTTGATAAACAATTATTGATTCAGAAAAAATAAGTAATAGTCTAAATAGGATATTTGAGCCTATTGATAGATAGGTAAAGACCCTCTAAAACATCTAGCCTGTTCCACAGAACTATAATATCTTGTGTAGTTATGGCAATCACCCAAAAAACACAGATACAAATTTGCGGAAACATATCTGAGAAATTCCTCTTCTCTCCATTCTATTTTCCAAGACTAGTTTTTGGAACATAAAACAGGAAAAGGCTATTTGGCCCATAAAGCCTGCACCGATGGTTAAATGTGATCATGGCTGAACTCTGAACTAACTTTATAAATCTAGCCTTTACACTTTACTTAACAAATGTACTCATAAAAATCTAACAATGTCAGTTTTACAATTAACGGTTTATCTAGCCTTAATTGCTAAAACAAAATTCTGGAGGCACTGAGCAGGTCTGGCAGCATCTGTGGAGAGAGAAATAGAATTAATATTTCAAGTCTGGTTTGACTCTTCTTCACAACTGAATAACACTAATTGCTATTCACTGAAGAGTATTTCAAAATTTTGCCACCATTTAGATCATAAGAACAAAAGGATTAGAAACAGGATTAGGCAATTTAACTTACTGAGCCTGCTCCATCATTTGATATGATCATGGCTAATCTCATCTTGGCCTCAACTTCTCTTTCCTGCCCACTCGGTATAACCCTTTAACAAATTACTCATTAAAGAGTTGTCTGTCTCCTGCTTAAAATTATTCAGTGTCCCATCCACCACATTCTTGGATAGTGAATTCCACAGATTTGTGACCTTTTGAGAGATGTAATTTCTCCTCACCTGTGTTTTAAATCTTACATCCCTTATTCTAAACCTAAGACTTTTCTTTCCAGGTTTCCCCAAAGAGAAAACATCCTTTCTACACCTACTTTGTCAATCCCCTTCAGCACCTTATAAGCCTCAAGCAGGTCTCCTCTCATTCTTTTAAACTCTAGGCCCAGGCTGCTCAATCTTTCTTCATAAGAATGTGTGAAGAATTGTTTCCAGTTTTTCACTCCTCCATGGTCTGCTCCAAGTTTTAGGCTACCTCCCTTGCAAAAAACTTCCCAATTTTTGGATACGGTTTCTCACAATTTACATTATCTATCCTCCTTAATAGTTTGATAACTTCAACCAAGTCATCCCCCAATCCTGTGAATGGTAGAAGAAAAGCTGTTGAATATTTTTTAAGGCAGGGTTGACAGATTCTTGTTAATCAAGAGGGTCAAAGGTTATCTGAGGTGAGGGAGAATGCAATTATCATCAGGTCAGCCATGATCTTATTCAGTGGCGAAGCAGGCTCAAGGATCTGAATGACCTACTCCTGCTCCTAATTTGTGCATTTATAGGTAATTTGTAAATTCCAGGAAATATAACACTGGTTTGTTTTACCTCTCCTTAGAGCGTGACAATTGAACTCTAGAGGCTGAATTTTACCAAAAATCTGCTGTCAATTTCAGCAAATGTTATGGATGGTTTCTCTCTGAGAGCTCTAGTGCATTATCTCATGTAATTCTCACCAGTTTGCCATATTGTCTGTGCACTATGTTTCTATGGTGCCCCACTTGTGCTATTTGGCAAATGCCAGCAGCACAGGTTCGTACCACTACTGGGATCTTTTGGGATTTATGTTACTGATGCCACATGAGACATAAGATGAGACATAAGGTCCTCACTCCACATGAGGATAGAATCCTTGCTTTAGTGGGAGATGATAGAGACTGTATGTGTGGTGATGTCAAAGCCTCCATGTCCTGACAACCAAATTAGAATCATTTTCAATGGCTGTGCTGTTCTCCTGATACTGCCATTGTGAAAATATTTTTAATACGCCCAAACTTCTATCCCTTTTTCACAACTTATTCTCTCTTTTGTCTCTTGGAGGCCCTAGTGGTATCTGGATCACCTCTGCCCTGATGAGAGCAGCCCTCTCTCCTCTCATCATTTCCTCCGCCCTGAAGAAAAAGTCACGGATCTTCGAGAGGAAGCACCAACTAGGCTGTCTTTTGCAACCTGCAGTAAATAATCTACTGATACCTCTGTTGGCATGTTAGCTTGATCAGAATCAGGAGCATATGCTGCTGAGCAGATTACTACCGTGTCTCTGCAGCTGATCAAGGAAGAAACATGCCAGTAGCCTAATTCTGAATGAACGGTATCTGCAAGTTTGCTGATGACACCACCGTGGCATGATGGATATCAAACAATGATGAGTCAGAGTACAGAAAGGAGATAAAAGTCTTGGTGTTGTGGTGCAATGATAACAAACTCTCTTTCAATGTTGGCAAAACGAAAGAACTGATCATTGACTTCAGGAAGAAAGGAGTTGAACACATCCCCAACTACATCAACGGAGTGGGGGTTGAGAGCATCAAGTTCCTAGGAGTGATGATAACTGCCAACCTGTCCTTGACTTCCAGTGTAGATATGACGGTCAAGAAGCACAACAACACCTCTTCTTCCTCAGGCAGCTTAGGAAATCTGGCATGTCCATAAGGATACTCATCAACTTTTATAGATAAAAAGCATACTATCCTGGTGCGTAATAGCCTGACATAGCAACTACTCTGCCCAAGACCGTCAGAAACTATAGAAGGTTGTGTGTGTAGCACAGGTCATCACGGAAGCCACGTCCCATCCATGGACTTCATTTACAGTTGTTGTTGCCGCGGAAAGGCTGCCAACATCATCAAAGACCCCTCGCACCCCGGTAATGCTCTCCTACAACCTCTTCCGTCAGGCAGAAGATATAGAAGCTTGAACACATGCACAAACAGCTTCAAGAACAGCTTCTTCCTTGCCATTATTAGTCTGACAAATGGACTGTCTAACTTCAAATAATGCTGATCTTGTTAATGTTGATCTTGCTTCACGCACCTCCTGTGCAGTGTAACCTGCATGCCTCACTCTATCTAAGCACCCTATGATCTGTATGTCCTTGCTTACTGTGATCTGCCTGTACTGCTCGCAAACAAAGCTTTTCACTGCACTTAGGCACACGTGACAATAAATCAAATCAATCAATCAGTCAGGTCACTGGCACTCAGAGGTCAGCTAGAAACCAGGCCCCAGGCAGCAGAGCACCCAATGGTATCAGTCATTTACAATTTTATCCAAGTATACAGGTAGATGCAGGAACAGCAGGCAGGTTTGTCGAAGCGATAGCTATTCTTTCTGTAATGCACACATTAGCATGAAATTTTGTCATGAATGAATAAGGGAGAATTGGACATTTTGAAAACCTCCATCCTTTTGCTGCCTTAACTTTTATTAAACAGCATGAACCTCTTTGAAATATCGTTGCATTAAGCTGCATTTGTAGTTGTGTTTATATAGGAGATGCTAGCCTCAGCAAAATCAAAACAGTTCCAGTCAGTGAAAGATGAATTCATGCAACACTGGGCCATTGACTGAGGTCAACAAAGACCTCCTGACTCTGTTGTTTTGGATGATGCTGTAGGATGCTGAACCTGCTGATCCTCATGTTCTTTGTGGCACAATCTTGCAGCTGTCATGGATCTTCATTATCCATCTATAGCCTTGTTGCATTCTCCAGTTGTTTGGAACAGAAATTCTGAGGATCAAGCAATGATGGCAATGCCAAGGCATACAATGCTATGGGCCACGTGCTGGAAAATGGGATTAGAATAGTTAGGTTGTTCTTGACCAGCACAAACTTGATGGGCTGAAGAGCTTTTATCTGTGTTGTAGACCTCTATGACAATGACAAAGAGTCTACGACCTCTGTCTGGCAGTACCAGTATGAAGCCCTGTACATAACCCTCACAGATACCTGATGTGGAAGGGCCATCCTGTGATACATCGATATCGCCAGTAGAAGAAAGAATTGCATTGCAGACACATGAACAGCATAATATGGCACTCTGACCTTCACCTCTGGACAGAATATAATGCCACTGTCCCTATCTCATCTGTATGGCATTCTGTGGAATACAGTGACAGTGGCTTCCCTGCATCTTTGCCACATCATAGGGCCATCAACAGTTGTAACTTCTACAGTTGGGGTCACCTTACAGATCCATTTTGCTTCAATCTCCAATACCAATTGACTTTATGTCATTGGAAATTTGGTTGTGTAATTTCATATTTCATCACGCAAGTGAATGAATACAATGAATCATGGAGGGCTTGTAACAGATCCTTGCAGGAAACTTCTAGTCCTGCCAAACTGCCTCCCACTCTCTCCCTATTTATTTCAGAACCCCCTTCCCCTCCCCCATTTCTGATGAAGGGTCTAGGCCCAAAACGTCAGCCTTTCTGCTCCTATGATGCTGCTTGGCCTGCTGTGTTCATCCAGCTCTGCACCTTGTTGTCTCGGATTCTCCAGCATCTGCAGTTCCTACTATCCCTGCCAAACTGAATACTTGTTTTTGAGTCAAGAGATCACACTGTGTCTGAATTCTCTGGAGTGTTTGTTTGTGGTAAGTGGTGACGGCAGGCCCCACCAGAAACGTGTCCAATTTTTGTTTCATGAAACTCAGACTGAAAGCCTGTGGCCAGCAGTGTCCCACAGGGATCAGTACTGGGTCTACTTTAGTTTGTCATTTATATAAATGATTTTGGATGAGAATATAGGAGGCATCATTAGTAACTTCATGGATGACACCAAAATTGGTGGCATAGTGGACAGTGAAGAAGGTTATTTATGATTACAAAGAGATCTTGAACAGTTAGGTCAAAGGACTGACGAGTTTCAGGCGGATTTTAATTTGAATAAATGTGAATAAAACAAACAAGGGCAGGACTTATACAACTGTAGGGTCCTAGGTAGTGTTGTAGAATGGAGAAACCTAAGGGTTCGGGTACACAATTCTTTGACATCTGCATCACAGGTAGATACGTTGGTTAGGAAGGTGCTTAACACGCTTGTCTTCACTGCTCAGACCTTTGAGAATAGGTGTTGGGATCATGTTGAGATTGTACAGGAAGTTGGTGAGGCCTCTTCCGGAGTACTGTGTGCAGTTCTGGTCAACCTGTTATAGGAAGAATATTATTAGGCTGGAGAGGTTTCAGAAAAGATTTGCCAGGATGTTGTCAGGAATGGAGGGTTCAAAAAAATACATTAGACTGGGAGTTTTTACATTGGAATTTGGATGCTTGAGGGATGACATTATGGAGGTTTATAAAATCATGGGGGGTATAGATAAGGTGAATAGCAAAGGTTGTTTCCCTAAGGTGGGGGAGTTCAAAACTAGGGGGCATATTTTCAAGGTAAGAGGAGAAAGATTTAATAAAGGACATGAGGGGCAACTTTTTAACACAGAGAGTGGTTAGTGTGAGGAATGAACTGCTGGAAAAAGTGGTGGATGCGGATACAGTTACAACATTTAAAAGACATTTAGATCAATACATGACTAGGAAAGGTTTGGTGGGATATGGGCCAAACACAAGCAGATAGAGCTAGTTTATTTGGAACATAGTTAGCGCAGACTAGTTCAACCAAAGCTGGATGACTCTATGACTGTATAAATCAGCATTTGTCTCCCTGCACCATTTAATTGGAAGATAATGTCAAGTGAATACTATTGATAATGTCTACTGAAAGGACTGACTGGATAGCACAACTAGTCTATTCTTTTTATGATTTTATAAACCTCAACCCTACGTAAATACCTCTCTAAAGTGTAAAGTCCAACCCTCTTATTCTACTTTGATAATTATGCTTAACTCAGGGAATTAGTCTTGTGACTCTTTATCTTTTCCAAAGCCTCAATATCACCTACAATATAAGGTGATGAAAATCGGATACCATAATCCAGTTGATGCTTGAAAAAGACTTGTGAAAGTACAGAAAAAGTATGCTTCTTATAATCAGTTTTGCGGTGAGTACAAGCAAATTACCTTTTTGTTTCAGCAATCACTTTATGGAATTGCTCACAAACTTTTAAATATGCGGATAATAGAAAGTTCTAATCTCCTTTCTTCTCTATTGTCCATTTTTTTATTTGAAGCATGAATGAATGTTGTGCATTTTCTTTCCTTAATGCAGAACACTGCACTTATCCCAGTTGTGTACCATGCAATGAGTTCAATCTCAATCACATTAAGATCTGCCTGATGGAGGTGAGTATGGTTCACTGTTGCAAAATCTTCAAATGATTACACACAGGAGATAATTTGATTATGTTCATAAGAAATATGAGCAAGAGTACGCCCCTTCAGCTGTCTCATTCTACATTCAATAACACATTGCCTGATCTGATGTGTGGCTTTAACTCTATTTCCTCGCCTATTCCTCCCTATCCAATACCCAATGAGAATAGGCTCAATCTTGTCAAATTTTCCTCATAACATAGCCTCCTCAACCTGGGTATTAACATAATAAGCCTTCTCTGAATTGGCTCAATGAAAGTATACCCTCATTAAATAAGGAGATCAAAACTGCATAAGGTATTCTGGGTGCAGCCTTGCCAATGCCCTGAACAGTTACTGACTTAACCTATTGACTGACATCTATTTGCAGATTCTGTGTCCTCCTCACAACTTGTTTTCCAAACTATATTTGTATTATCAGCAAATTTGGACACAATACATTCGATTCTTTCAACTCAGTTGTTAACGTAGGTCATTAATAATTGAGGCCCCGTCACTGATCAACTCATTAGTTTGCCAATCTGAAAATGACTCATTTATCCTTTGTTTTCTGCATAGCCAATCCTCAGTGTTAGCCTAACTAGCCTACAGGTAAATTGAAGCTTAATTATGTGATCTGCAAACACTCAGCTAAAATGTTGAGGGGAACCTGGTCAAGGAAAGAGTGGCTGTTCAGAGTCATTTAATGGCTAACCGGCTATAAGTAGGATGGAGGGAAGATTTTCACTCCTCTGGGACAGAACATCCTGCCTCTGTGAGCTGCTGGCCATTAAGAGTCTGACTGTTTTCTCTCCAGTACCAGTACTGTCAGTGGGAGAACGGTGGCCACTTGTCAGCAGCCCAATCAGGTGATAGGGAGTGAGCTGCAGTGGGTCAAAAAATTGTAAGTGTTTGGTGATCAGCAAGGTGAGTTGGGGCCAGAGTTTGAGAGACCAAGGTGGAGGGAACTTTTGCAGGGTTTGGGGAGAGACATGGTTGGGGGGGCTAGTGGGTTTTTGGGGGGGGGAGGGTGCAGTTGGTAAATGGTGCTTGCATGAGGAGGAGAAATTGTGCTCTCCAACAGGTCCTCCAAGGAGGAATTAACTCTCTCCACAACTGGCTAGCACAAGGAAAGTTGTTATTCTAGATTCCACTTTGTATGGACCTTTCCTGTTGCCAGTTTAATGTTGGCAGTGGCAGGATGAGGTTCTTAAGTAGATATCACTTGCTACTTAAGGGTTTGAGCTGGTTCACTAGTAGGTGGTCCATCTGATACCATCCCTGCTGGTGGTAAAATTGTGGTTGGTCAGAGCAGGCAGATAAGCAGTGGCAATCAGCTTGCAGAATGTAACAAGAAACGTAGACTTCCAACTCACATGAATTGGTGTGTTAATTCAGGCCTCTGTTTTCTGTTTCCTTCCTTTCTTGAATAAAGATGTTATATTTGTGATTTTTCAATCAACTGGGACATCACAATACTCTAATATATCTATCTTTAAGACCCTAAGATGCAGATTATCAGCTACAGTGGACTTGTCAACCTTTTGTCACATCAGCTTTTTGATTACTTTTTTTATAGTGATCATAATTGTTTTAAGTTCCTCCCTTTTGTGTTTTGAGTTTCTACTATTTTTTAGAATTCTTTTCATGTCTTGTGGTGTGAATAAAATGTTTGTTCCAAGTCTGTAATTTCTTTGTTTCCCATTATTAACTCCCTAGTCTCATCTTCTCTGGGACCAACAATGACTTTAGTTATCCTTTTCCTTTTTATACACTTGTGAAAGCTTTTACTGTCTGTGACAGCTCTCTCCAGGAGTAACTCAGCTTATCTCATTCCTCTATCCATACTTAGTAGCACTACATTGCTTTTCTCTCTTATCCAATTTTGCAAAGTATGATTGAACTTCTGATACATTGATGGTGTCTTTGGTGATGCTTCCTGCACTTGTCTGGAGTTGGAAAAATTAATCAATTTTGTTTCCAATTCCATCCTTTAATCACTTTCAACTGGCCCATCACTGACTTTTTCCTTCCCTTTCTTGACTTCATTATTTCCATTTCTGTGACAAGCTGTCCACCTATATCCACTACAAATACCCCTGCAATTACCGTGACTACACCTCCCAAAACACTGCGCGTCCTGCAAGGATTCCATTCCATTCTCCCAGTTTCTCTGTCTCTGTCACATCTGTTCTGATGAGCTCACCTTTCATCCTGTAGCCTTTCACATGCCTCTGACATGACCTCTTTTCTCATCAACCAAGCATTTCCCACCAAATGGTTGAGAGGACTCTTAGCCTCATCTCCCACACATCTGCCCTCACCCTTTCCACCCCACTGCATTTAAAAGATCATCTTCTGCTATTTCTACCAGTTCCAGCAAACCCGTCTTCTCCTCCCTTTCAGTAACCATTCCACATGACATTCCATGACATTGTGGTGCATTCCTTTCATCACTTCTAACACTCCTCACTTAGCCATGGCACATTCCCATACAATTGCAGAAAGACTAACCATTACTCATTCACTATTTTCTGCATTGTCCAAACACACCCTCCAGGTTAAGCAGCATTTCACTTGTACTTTCAATCTAATCTATTGTATTTACTGTTCACAACAGTGTCCTTTATATTGTTGAAATCAAACGCAGACTGTGTGACTGCTTTGTCGAACGCCTCCACTCTGTCGCTAGGAATGACTATGACCTTATAGTTCTTTGCCATTTCAATAAGCCACCTTGCGTTCATGCAGCAATGTTCCAATGATGCACAACATAAGCTTGAAGAACAATACCTCTTTTTGTACTTAGGCACTTTACAGCCTCGAGGTGTCAATATTGAATTCAATCGCTTCAGAAGCTTACTGCATTATGTCTGTTCTCCATTTTTCTTATTATCTCTCCTCCATCCCCTCTACAGTCTTGTTTATGACTGTTTACTTTGTTCTAAATATAGATGACCCATTCCCTCCCTATCACACTTTAATTTCCATCTAATTTATGTCTCTTTCTCTCTTCCTCCTCTATTAAGAGGCCTTTGTCATTTGCAGTGGACCTCTGCATCTATTAAAAGTATAAAACAGCAAATTTTCCAACAATTTTCAGTTCTCAAGAAGAATCATACTGGGTTTGAAATATTAACTCTGTTTTTTTCTCCACAGATGCTGCTAAACCTGCTGTGTTTCTCCAGAAGCCTCTGTGTTTGTACTCAATCTCTGCACTGCTTGTGTTTAGCTTACGCTGTGGCTATATTTGCAGATTCATTTTTCAGCTCTCATTATAAATTTAACACAAAAAATCATTCCTTAGGATTGCCTGTGCTAGTTTCTGCTATTAACAAACAACAGCCAAAGTGGTGTCACCAAACTTGGTCAATCAAGATAGTCTAGGGCTTGAATGTTCATGCCAATTCCAGCTGGATGGTACATTGTTCCTTTATGTTCCAGTGGGATCATTACTGGAATGCATGATAAGACTGGTATTATTTTCCAAAAAATTCTGGGGCTAAGGTGTTTAGCATCCTATTGTTTTGTCATTTCTTCATAGTCCTGAGAACTGAAAGAACAGCATTTTAATATTCTATACAAATAATTTGAATGTATTTCACTTTTGTACTTACTTTTTTGCTGGGTCTGTTTAACCTAGTATTACATTGTATTATATAACGTTTATAATGTTCAATCAGCTCATGAATGCTGCCAAAATCTGTATCTTCTGTTACGTAATATCGACCATTCTCTTTTTGTAAAATCACAATATGAATGATTGATTCTCCATTTTTAGCTGAAACAAAATGGTGGTAATAATTAGTTATCAAATTTGATTATTGTCAATTTTTCAGTTCTAATTGATACAAATGTCAATGCCAGAGAATCACTGAGTGCCAATTTTCATTTCCATTATCTGGAAATAACAATATAGTTGTGCTAATCTCAAAAAGACTTACTACGCCACTGATATCACCAAAGAATTCTAAACAATTTTGAAAGGGTGTGATTGAAGATTCAAAAGTCAGAATCATGCTCAGCTTTATAGATTTTCAACTTAATACCAACATAAATTGCTCAAATCAAGGAATTTCAAAGCAAAGTTCCCTTAGGACTGGTGCAATATTGACCAGGAACATTTTGAAGTTGCTCTTGCAAAACCATTGGAACATCATCAGGAGTGCACCAGAAATCCCAATTACGGAGTCACTGGCCTAGAAATTACTGAATTCTTTGCCCACTTTATAGACTTAGAAACACTGACCTAAGGATCTGTATAGCACCAGTATGTTTGCCACCTGTCAACTTGATAGAGACTTCTTTGTAAATGTCCAGGGCACATACTTCAAATAGGCATTAGATCCTTCAATTTACATTAATGGTTTTATGAGGCTCTCTTTGCAAAATTATTTAAAACTACAATTTTGATGGGGGTTGGTTAGTTCAGTTAGCTAGATTGCTTGTGTGTAATTCAGAATGATATCATGTGGTTGAGCTTGATTCTTGTTGCAGCTGATACGGGCTTGCAACTTGCTTCCTTGTCCTGTCCCTATGAGTACAAAGAGATGATAAACCACCAATAAGAACTGCCAAGGAAACAGCTGAGAATGAAGCATCAGCAGACAATGAGTCTATATTCAGGCAGAGCTCATACACCATACTAATTTGGTTAAAGTATATTTTAGAAACAAATAGGAAATAATCATATATATACAAATTTCAGACATACACCAGTAAAAACATATATGAAATATAAAAATTACTATACACATGGAAAAAAATCATCCAGCTATACTGCAAACAATACCATCTCTGTTCATGAATTTAAATCAGTAATCAAATCAAGTGATTCTAATGGTGAACATAACTATTTTGGGCTTGTATTCGCGTCTTATGATGCTATATCAAAATCATTGGTTAACTTGTTTTGTTTTTTTTTGACACAAGTTCAGTTTTCTTAAAATAAATTTGCGGGTTGTGGGCATCACTGGCTGGGCTAACATTTATTACCCTTGGGAAGGTGGTCCATGTGTTGTAGATAGACCCACAATTCTGTTTGGAATTCCAGGATTTTGACCTAGCATCAGTGAAGGAACAGTGATTTATTTCCAATTCAGGATGGTGAGTGGCTTGGAGGGGAACTTGCAGGTGGTGGTGTTCCATGTAAATACTGCCCTCGTCCTTATAGATGGTAGTGGTCTAATTTTTACTACATTTATAGTCTGTTGTAGATTTCTTACCTGACAATACATATGAGCCCTGAATGGTCTCACTTTTCCGGACAAGAAACATGTCAACAAATTGCTTGGAAGAAAGGAGATGGTTTTCTGCTTCAAACCTGGTCATTTTTCCAAAGTACCAGCTAGAATTGCAATGGGTATGACATTAATTAGGTTATATAAGATTTAACTTGTCATTTTACCATGCAACAGTTTACTACACAGTTATGTTATTCATTAATATGTTTGCTCTTTGCATTATTTGCATTTTTCAGCACACTGATGAATTTACAAAAAACCTACAGTTTGCAATTTGCACTAATATGAAAGTTATCCAGAAGTTTTAACAATAAAGATATTTTATTTCAGTTAAGAACAAAAGGCATAGAATAAGGCCATTAGACCTGAAACACAACTTCATACCCTGGAAATTTGCAAACATAGTGGTGTGAAATTTATCTTTAAAATATATTACCTAGTGCAAATTTCCTGTCTTTACCAATAATCCCTGCACACCAGTACTATTCAAAAAACAGTCAATACCCTCTTGAAAGCATCAATTGAACCTGCCTTGATTACATTTTTGGTAATACATTCCATACTGTAATTACTTGCTGAGTGAAAAAGTTTTTCTCACATCATCCTTGCTTCATTTGCACATGTCTTTAAACCTATGTCCTCTTTGTCGTGTTTCCTATCTATTCTTCCAACTTGCTCATAATTTTGAAAACCTCAATCAGATATCCTCTTAGCCTTCTTTTCTCCAGCGAGAACAGTTCCAACTTCTTTAATCAATTCTCATAACTGAAGTTTCTCATTCTTTGAACCTTTCTTGTAAATCACTATTGCAGGGTCTTCAATGCATTCACATCTTTTGAATAATGTGGCACCTACATCTGTACATAATACTTCATCTGAGGTTTAACAAGTGTCTCGTATATGTTCAACATCATCTCCTTGGTCTTGTACTTTAATAAAGCTGAGGATATTGTATGCTTTATTTGCTGCCACCTTCAATGATCTGCACCCATATACAGGTTCCTTTTCTCCACTGGTCGCTTTAGAGTTTCATCCCTTATTTTACATTGCCTTTCAGTGTTCTTCTAACCAAACTGTGGATCACCTCACACTTCTGTATACTGAACCTCATCTGCCACCTCTCTGCCCACTCCACCAACTTGTTAAAATCCTTTCACAGTTTCACACTATTCTTCTCATAGTTTACGATTCTTCCAAGTTTAGTGCCTTCTGCAAAATTAAAATTATCCTCTGCACACCAAATTCCAAATCATTAATACAGACAAATATATATTGAAAAGCAAGAGTTCCAGTATCGATCCCTGGGAAACTTCACTACAAACCTTCCTCCAGCCAGAAAAAAAAATCCATTAACCATTACTCTCTATCACTCAGCCATTTTTTTGAAATCTATGTTGCCACTGTTCCTTTTCTACCGTGATCTAGAACTTTCCTCACAAGTTTGTTATGAGTCACTGTATCAAATGCTGTCTGCAAATTCATATATACCATGTCATAAGCATTACCCTCAACAACCCTTTTCATTACTTCTTCAAAAAGCTCCACCAAGTTAGTTAACCATGATTTCCCCTTTAGAATCCATGCTTACTTTTCCTAACCAACCCATATTTTGCCATGAGACTATTAATTTGTTTCTAAAAATTTTCCCACCACTGAAGTTACCTAATTGGTCTGTAATTACCAGGATTAGCCTTACAGCATGTTTGATCAAGGCTGTGGGGAGGAAGGTGTTTGTAAACAAGGATAGGTGATGCCCTTCTATGTGACACCCTCCCCCTTTCTTGATGCCAGGTTCCTCAATCAGGCACAGAGTGCCCATGAGTGAAGGGCTCCCTAGTATCCCAGGCACGAATTCACCTGACCAAAACCCTAACCCCTGCCTCCAAACGGTTCCCATTGATTTTCATGCGGTTGAATACTCACGGTTCTCCCTCCAAGCTCTTCTCTTTTGCGAGTATTTCGACAGGCACGAACCCAGAGCAGGGTTTTTTTTGTTTGTATGGACCTTTCCAAACTTTCTGAGCGAGCCACCAGTCCCCTGCTTTGCTGATGATTTCCAGGCGCTCTCCTTTTTTCACACTCAGCTCCTCAGGGCCCCTGGCCATATAATCAAATTGCACTATGTGAATCTCCGCGGAATGTGGAGCTTCATTCTTGCAAAGCCCCTCTTTTTCTCTACCAGCGCATGAACTTGCAAAACCACGACATGCATTTTGTACATTCTGCTGAGCAGCGATCGCCGCCGGGAGAGGTAAAGACCTCGCTTCATGAGTGAACACTCCAACTTCAGGGCCGTCATTTGTGTTGTGGATTGTCAATCCTTGTGGCTTTGCATTTCTGCCATCCTCCGAGGTGGTATTTGAAGTCGCAGAATTGCTGAAAGGACAACAGCATAGAACTTCCATAGCGCTGATGCAAGAGTCAAAATAATTACTTGCTTTGCAGAACTGTTCTTAGGCCAATCTAAGCAGTGCATTTTAGCGAGTGGAAGTTTAAGTTTGAGGTGAGGAAGTGCTTTTTAATCAAATGGGGAATTCCTTGTGGGTTTATAAACATTTCGGATGTCGTAATTTTCTATTAAAACATTCTGTGTGCACATCAATAAAGATAATTTTGAAAAGTAGAAAAATTAACGTACATTTAATATTGTAGCACAGAAGTATGAAATAGCAAGTTGATAAAATGTAATAAATTGTATATGAGTTTCTCTTCATTTTCATACCACTTTGTTCATGTTAAAAACTGAAACGACAGACAAAGGAGATATTTTTAAAGAATACTATGCCCATTCCCTAGGTGGCACAATGTTCAGACTGGCCTTAAATTAACTGTCATGTCTCCATCTCAACAACAGACAGGAGCCAGATTTATATCTTTAAATTTTAGTCATACATTGGCTGTCAGATTCTCATGCAAACTCCAGGTGCCAAATGGTGGAGTATATCTGTTTTCACTGGTTTCACAGATGGCTAGTGATGGAAATCCTTCCTGCTTTTCAATGTCAATGGCTGTTCTACTGTACCCTCAAAGCTAGCCATGTGCCATGTTTGGAACTCTAAACCCTGGAAATTCAAGAACATGGAAGGGCTCCTTCACTCTCCCCTCTGTAGCCTGAGCATGATGTTAAACTTGATGAGCATGTCTGCAATCTATTGAAGGCAACCTTGACTGCAAAAAGACTGATATTGCATAGATCACTTGTAGCTGCTTGAAAAGATCCAATGTTAGAAGATCATAAGGCAGTGATCACAGGCAGAGTAATTCTGTCAGCTTAGACTGATGTATTGGTCTATTGAGATTATGTCTGACTGTAGAGTTGAAGTTAAAATCAGACCAGATCTTATTGAGTGGCAGAGCAGAGTCAAAGGGCTGAGTGGCTGACTCTTACTCTTTGCTCATAATGGTCTTTAGGCATTTCAATTATGTATATTAGGTGAGTTAGCATGCTAGATAATAAGGCAAGGGTTGGTGACTGGACTGGCAAAGATTACTGTGAAAAATATGAGGTATAATTGGATAAGTACAGGGCATGGATGTGTTGTAAAATGAAAGGGTGGTTCAATTTGTGCCGGACCATCTGCAGTAACCCTTTTTAAAACAGGTGCTTTACACAGTGAGATAGACAAAGAAGAAACTAGTCAGAGGAAGGGCCAACATAACTTCCTTGAACACTTTATGAGGGAGAAACAATATTTATTAGGGTCTACTATTATACTATAATTAAATTCTATCAATCTCTTCAGTAAACAGACTTAAATCTACACTAGATATCTACTTCAGACACTGGATTCCAAGGATTGGCCACACCCTGTCCACAGGTCCCTACCACTATATTTGAACAGTTTGTCTGAAAGGACTGGTAATACCCACTCAGCAAGGTTGGGAAGAGCTGTTTTTCGATCTTTGAGGGTTGGCTGATATTTCTGAATCTTCAGTCATCAATTTGGGCTTTCCCTAGCATTTAGGGCTGATTCTTGCCTTTGGGTTGTCTCACCGAGGTGGTCTCTCTGGAGAAGCCATTGATGAAATGCAAAACACAGAGGCAGATGGAGTTCCAAGTTACCCCCTTTATTCCCCTGTTTGTGCCCTTCACGAAGATTCTGTGGCCTGTGTCCAATACTAACATTGGGTAGGGACAGGAAGATCCAATGAGCTGACTACTCCCCATATTTGGAGTTTGCAGAACATGGTCTTGATCCTTCAACTGTCAAGTGCAATCCTTATCATGCTATACCTCTGGCCTCCTATTGAGCTAGGTACCACCAAATCTGTGTAGCGTTCTTCTAACAAAACAGGTTCACTGGATGCTATGGTTGGTTTGCTCGCCGAGCTGGGTCATTAGTTGGCAGATGTTTCATTACCCTTCTGGGTAGCATCATCAGTGTAGCTTCTAATTAGACCCTGCAGCAGGGTCTAATTATGTGTGTTTATTGATGGCCTTTTTGGTGGAGAACCAGGCCTTTAGGAATTCCCATGCTTGTCTCTGTTTGGTATGTTGTAGGATCCTGACGTTTTCCCCATCGAACTGGTGCATGCAAGGACTGTGACAAACATTACATTGGACAGACAGGAAGAAAACTGGCTACGAGAATATATGAACACCAACTAACAACAAAAAGACACGACCAACACTCACTCATCTCCATACATACAGACAAGGAGGACCACCAGTTCGATTGGGACAATGTCAGGATCCTAGGACAAGCCAAACAGAGACAAGCACGGGAATTTCTAGAGGCCTTGTTCTCCACCAGGAAAGCTAACAATAAACACAGAATTAGACCCTACATACACACCACTGCAAAGAAAAACCGGAAATGAGGTAATCAACTCCAACTGATCCCAGAATTTAAATATCAAGCGGAAAAATACAACTGCGCTTCATCGGAGACTGCACTGATGCCCAGAAGGGTAATGAAACATCTGCAAATTAGTGAACCAGCTTGACGACCAAACCAACCATTGCATCCACAATCCGAGCTACAAATATACTGAAGAACATTAAGTTCGCTGGAGATGTAAACAATGGTTCATTCTGAAAAAATGTGGCCAATAGCACCTGGCCAGGCAGTTCCAGGCCTGGCTGCATGGTGTTAGTTCCAGCTCTGAAGTTTACAAATTGCAGGGTCCAACTAGTTTTTAACTTGGCTTCCACAGTTCGTGTTTTTGATCTGCAATCATGAAAAATATCAAGATCTCTGCGACAATCCTGGAGGTCATGGGTCACCTAACCATAGATGGTGCATAGGAAGTGTGTGTAGGTGGGGTTGCTGTGGTGTTTCCTTGATGGCCACCCACATGTCTCATGGTCACGTGCTGTTCCAACAGATGAAACAATTTGGTGGCAGTGCCCTAGGGCATCCTCAGGCTGCAGCAGCACAGTGCTCATCTGGAGGAAGTGGAATCAAGGACAATCAAAAATAGGCCTCCTGCGCATCCCAAGGGGGTCTTCAGCTGCCTCATGTGAAGGCCACCGCTCTCGCTGAGCTTAGTAGTGCACTTATTTGACTTCAGTGTTTCTCTACATTTATTGTAGTGGGACCATAGTGATGATGATGCCTGCTGTGGCTGGATCCATTGGTCACAATTCCATTAAACCAACTTGAGGAATTTCAGGTTTTATGAATAAGATATATTTTTGGAAATAAATTGCTGTGCTGCCTTTTTACATAACATATTGTTTATTATTAAGAAGCATAGCACAAACACCAACTGCATAATAACCAAAGCAAGAAAATAATCCCTGTCCATAGTTAGATAAGGATTCTCATATTGATATTCCAGCAGAATGACTTAAACTCAACATTGGATATTTCCTTTCTTCATCTCCTGACTCTTCTCTGGTCTGTCTGAATACATTTAGTTAATTCTACCAGATATTCGAGCAAAGGTGGTAGATCACATACAAATCTGGTGACATATTGATACAACTACCGCTTTAACTTTGTGTACAGCATGTGTCAGCTTTTCTAGAGGATTTCCAAAGCACATTCTAATATAGATGGCTTGATTGTTGTAAGTTAATGGTTAACCAGAGGGCTGAGACAACTCTGCCATGGTTGTTTGAAGGAGCTTTGGCTGGATACTCTGGCATTTGGGCAGCTAATGAGCTGTCATGTGGTTATAGAGTCATAGAGTTGTACAGTACAGAAACAGACCGTTCAGTCCAACTCATCCATGCTGACCAGATATCCTAAAACAAAAATCAAGTCCCATTTGCCAACATTTGGCCCATATCTCTCTATACCCTTCCTATTCACACACCAGTCCAGATAACATGCATGCCTTCTGCATGAATTTCACTGTTTGTTCATTTTTCTCAGAACGAACTCCAATGAGCAGAGAACTTGAAACTAAACAGCAGAGGCAGTCAGCTGTGCAGGTTTACTGCTCGTCATTTCACCTCCCACGTGGTCCTTGGTTTCTCACGCTTCCTCCTTTTTTGAAGTGCTGTTGTTTTGATCTCTTTTTTCCAAAGCTCCAAAACAATGCAATAGCTTATAAAACAGTAATTATTGCTCCAAAAGGAAATCAGCTCCAACACTGAAAATACCTCAATAAAGGAGCAGCTCTTACAGCCACAACTTTTTCTCATCCTCAAAGAAACTTTAAGACATGAGAGCACACCCCCAAGAGTTACTGGACAATCAAAGGGCTGGCTGCTGTTCAGCGCCAGCAGTACAACTGGACATGAAGGCTACAGCTGAGACTGCCTAGAAGAAAGGGAAACTATACAAGACTGACACTTTCCTAACCAGTTATATATATCATGGGGCAAACCCTGGCAACAGGGTAGGGGCACTGATGAAAGGTTATCCCACTGTTGGCTATTGTTTCAAGGTGACCCTTGTGTGTATCATCTGGTGCTTGTTTAGAAGGTGCTGTCTGGTGAGTCTACAAAGAGGCTGCCAGTGTGGTGTTCATCTGGTAATTTCACACACAGCGAAGAGTCCACCCACTACTGGAAAAATATTATCAACAGCAGGAAGAGGCCCTTAGTCACTTCAGTAGCACAATTGACTTTTGGTTGGAAGAGCCTTCCTCTCCACTACTGGCCAAATGTTATGTTGGAGACAAGAGAATGAGCGCATTCACCTCTATCCTGCCTCCTGAGTTTTTGTCCTTTCCACCCTCAATGTCTCTTATCCCATCCTGCAGAGCTTATAAAGTTCAGCTCATGTTGTGCCTGAGGCACAGACCAGAACTGCAGCATTATATGAATGACTCATTAGCTTTGTCTGTTTGTAGTGAGCAGTTTTATCAGAGTTTTGGGTATTTTATTTTCAATGCCAGAAGATTTGGAAAGAATAATGCACCAGCCTGTAAAACCGAACAATCCACTATTACAGCTGCTGAAGCTGTGACAGCAAACACACTGTCATTTTCAGCCAGATTAACAATAGTG